CTATGGAACTCAAGGGCCATGCTACTCTTAGCAAATCAAACACTAGAATTACTTGACAAAACAACAGAATCATCTCATGGTTCGATGGGAGCAGACTTGAAAGCCTGAATTCATAATAATTCTGCCCTTGGGAGTGCAGTCATGAAATATATTAACCCCTCGTGATTATGCCCCTAGGTAGAGAAAAGGCAATTCTCTGACAAGAGCAAGTTCAGGTTGAAATTTCAGTCATGTGCTAGGATACAGCTCCCCAAAACTTCATGCCACAAGCAAAGGGACACAAGGAAATGCACAGGTGTTCGAGCCAACCCCAGGTGTCTCTTAGAAATCAAATGAGATCCGTCAAAGAAATGAGATTAGCAGTCTTTAGCAGAATAAAAGAAAATATTTAGAAAGGGGTTCTGGTCTTACTCAGCTGAAGTAAGGCAGGGGAAGGAGACAAGGACCACTAGGTCCTTCCCATTCTGTGGAGAGTGCTTTTTTGCTTTTTTTTTTTCAGCTTCCAACCTCCTAAGTGAGCAGCCACTATTCAAAAAGCTATTTTATACCTTGTTCCTTGCCCCCTTTAGTTTTCATTTGTTGAATCTCCCTGGAAGCGTGGGATTAAGGATGAGAACTGCTGAGCTGCCGTCATCAAACTGCCCTGTTCCTGTCACCACCACTGTTGCCCTGTGTCCAGGAGGGAAACATGCTTTTTCCCTCTCCTCTGGGCATTTGGGCCTTTTTCTTCATGGAGGCTCTCCTTTTGGTTTCACCCTAGTCCTAAAGCATGTGATATTTCCTTGCTTCAGCAAATGAGTTTGTAAAAATTCCAAAGTTCCTGTGACTCCAAACCATTCTTCCCCTCTATAGAAGAGGTGGTTAGATGGTACCTAGTTATTTACACATGGTCTCCCCTATTAGAATGTATGCTCCTTGAGGGCAGGGCCTGTTTTTATAATTCTTTGTTATCCACATACCTAGCACATAAGCACTTAATACTTTTTAAGAACTGACTTTCATGTGTTGTTATGGTTACAAATAATTTATCCCCTGGGGTCAAACTTAGTTAAACTAACCAGCAGAAAAGATAGAGTGATCACCAGGCCTGGACTCAAAGTCATCAAGACCTGCCAAATCTTGCACATAGCCCTCCGGAACCCAGAGTCATCTCCAGACCAAAATCAGACACAAGAGTAGAACTCTAATGGAGGAACCTACCCAAAGACTTCTCCAGTTTGGGCCTGAAGGGGATAGCCACACGTCGTTGTTGGAAAAGGGAAGATAATAACAGCTCCTGCCTCTCAGGGTTGTTGTGAGGATCAGATGAGATATTTTTATAAAGTGGTTAGCACAGAGCCCGGCACATAGTAATGCTAGACAAATGTTTGTTGTTGTTGTTGTTGTTATCATTATTACTATTAAATTAACTGGCTAGTTCTTTATTCTTCCACCAGAGCTCTTTTCTCTATCCATGTCGTCAATGGGAAATATGCCCATGGTGAACATTCATTCAACATTAATGTTTAAACTGTTATGGATTGAGTTCCTAAATTCCTGAGCTACCTGCCTCTCTGGCCAGCCCCCAAATGCATAGATACATAAATTCATAGAATCATGCAATGTTATAACTGGAATGGACTTCAGTGATCATCTTAGTCAAACTTCCTTATTTTGTAGATGAGGAAAACTGAGGCCCACAGCAGAGTATACTACTCTCCATACAGACCCCTACAGCAGTGGTTCTTAACCTTTTTTTGTGTCCTGGACCCCTTAGGCAGTCTGGTGAAGCCCATGAACCCCTTCTCAGAATAATGTTTTCAAATGTATAGGATAAAATATATAGGATTACAAAGAAAATCAATTATTTTGAAATACAGCTATCATTATGTTTAATATGATTGTACATGTATAGCCTATATCAGACTTAGCTTTTCTCAGCAATGCAAGGATCTAAGACAACTCTAAAAGACTCAACAATGGAAAATGCTATCCACATCCAGAGAAAGAACTTAGGAGTCTGAATGCAGATAGATGCATACTATTTGCTCTCCTTTTCTTTTGTTGTTTTGTTTTGTTTCTTCTTTCTCATGGTTCCTCCTATTAGTTCTAATCTTCTTTACATCATGACTAATGTGAAAATATGTTTAATATGAATGTATAAGTAGAGCCTATATCAGATTACACTCTGTCTTGGAGAGGGGGGAGGAGAAGAAGAGGGAGAAAATTTAAAACTCAAAACCTTATGGAAGTGAATGTTGAAAACTAAATATAAATAAGTCAATTATTTTTAAAAATGTATAACCTATATCAAATTGCTTGCCATCTTGGGGAGCGGAGAGGAGAGAAGGGAAAAAAAAATTTGGAACTCAAAATCTTTAAAAAGTGAATGTTGAAAATTATCTTCACATGTAATTGGAAAAGATTAAAAAAAAACATTAAGTGAAATACAGTTATCAAAATATTTTTTTAAAAAACAGGTTCTCACACCAGTCCTGGAGTGAGGAGGATCTGAGTTCAAATGTGACCTCAGACACATTACATTTACTAGCTGTGTGACCTTGGGCAAGTCACTTAACCCCAAATGCCTAAAATTAAAAAAAAGAAAAGAATCTGGGTCCTAGGGTATAAAAGTACAAAGACTAATCAGTCACATGCTCTCTTTCCCCATAGACACCCTTGCCTTGCATCAGTGTGGGACGACACAAGTCTGGAGAAGACAATGCTCCCTGCAGAGAATGAAAAGCACATATGGGGAGGGGGGCTGGAGATAGCAGAATAGAGGGAGCCAAAGACAATTATCCTCATTAAGAATGGGCCACTGCAAGCCTGAATCCTTATTACATTGCTGAAAGAAAATAAAACAAGGACACATAAGTGTATGTTGTTTTATTTCTTCATTAAAAGGGGAGCATGTAGCTTTTTAGTATGGTACAAAATTTGGAGGTGAGAACGGACTGATTGCCCCCCATTCACCTTGGCATATGCTAAAGATTGTGCTTACATCCTGCAGAGCAATAGCCTCTCTTGCCAGAACCCAGTACAAGCTATAATCTCCCAACCTTCAAGCCACAGCTGTATGGACCATTATCTATGTGTCTGTCTTTATATGAGTCAGAATCTAAGCCTGCCTTCAAAAACTTACTACTGAAGCACCCCCTGCCTCTGTGTCAGCCTCTCATCACATGTCCTTCTACTGTTAGTGGGAGCAACTGATCCCCTACTAAGACACATCTGTTCTTAGTCCCTATTACAACAGGAGAAAAAAAAATGACACCTTCAGCCACATTAACCAATTGAGGCTGTCTGGTTTGGTTTGCCCCTGTTGCTACCATGCAAGCAACCCACTGGGTTAAAGACTAGTGACATCTGTTAAAAAGTAAGAGAGGAGAGGAAGCCACCAAAAGTCATGAATACACTTCACAGCATCGAGCAACTCCCCAGTACTACTCACAATGTGAAACAATCTGCCATCATTGTAGACTCAGTTTTCCAGTTATTGATCTTAAGTACTTAAGCATGTGTGCGTGTGCATATACATTCCTTACAAATATTTTGGAACAGGAATTGAACTGAAGAGCAGAATAGTTGAATCAAGATTTCTGTCACACTGCTTTCAGGTTTCAGACTACTGTAGGGTTCCCCCCTCCTTTTCCTGACTAGGGTTTTACTAACTCCTAAGGAGTTGTTCCTTCTCTCAATCCATCAGTGTCAATTAGAGCTGCCTATCTTATCAAGAGGGAAAAAAAGACCTTAGTTCAGGTGGCCCACTCTCTTTGAGACATGGCATCCTACTCACTCCATGGCTGTAGCATAAATTATTGTTATTATTTTTTAATAAACAAGGGAGTTTGAAAATTGATGCTGATATCACGAAGGAATGGATGGGAGGTAGTATTGTGTGGTGGACAGAGGACTGGCTGGGAAGTTAGAAAGTTCTACCTCTGGTATGGAATAACTAAATGATGGAAGTGTCCCAAGCAAGCTTCTAAATTACAGACTAGTTGCCAATCTGTTTTGGTTGATGGAGTGTGCATGCTGGGAGTTCCCCCACACTCAAGAAACCAATTAAAAATTACTTAAGGGCTATGAATAGAGGGTTATTATTATTATTGACATCAATACTAAGTCACTCCTAAGATGAATTGAGGCATAAATGAGCCTATGCCTCTATATGATAGTAAGGGGTTCCCTCTCCCATGTTCCTGAAAATAATGGCTTTTCTTTTGCAGCACTTCTTTAAAGGGGTAAAAAATTAAAATTAAAATGTTCTTTCACTCCCACTTTTTGAGAGAAATGAACTGTTTTCCCCAAAAATCTCTAACAAGACTTTGTGTATCATTTTCTAAAGATCTCCCCAGCACATCACTACTTGGCACCCCTTAGGTTCTAGTGGCTGCCACAAGATTGATGACACCAACATTGAGACTTTTCTATGAATTGAGTCCATCAAAGCCTTTAAAAAAAATTCAATATTTTACAATAGTAATAAAGAGTGCTACTCATGCATTGGGAATTTCAATTTTTTTCTGAACTAAAAGAATATGAAACCTCCAGGATAGTTAATGATTTATTAATGCATGCACCTAGCAACATCTCTTCTCATACTAAAGGGTCACCATAACCTCTAGGTACTTTTCACCTAATTGCTCAAAACATTATCTTTTAAACAGGAAAGAAGACTCTGTCCCTATTCATGTGTTAATATATTCAATCAAATGAAAGAGGACGTTTTACCATTGCAACTTGCATCTTTGCCCTTACCAGAAATTGTTAATTGGAAGCTATTACTAATGTGTTTGCAGGTGGATGAATCACTCAAATTTTCCTAAGAACAGATATATAGCCTATAATTGCAATACACACAAAAACACAAGGTGCAAATTCGAAAGAAGGGTGATTGTACTGCAATAGGCATGACTGAGAACTCAAACTGTGACTGATGTGATGTGCCTAAGTCCTGAAGCCACTGCTTTGGAGTCACTACTTATAGCGGTGCCCCAGAAATAATTATCACTTACCTTCCTCTCTTTTGCGTTTGTTGGTTTCAGCGCTAGGAGATGTAATTCCCAGAATTCCACTAATGGAGTAGGAAGAGCCAGCAGAATCGGTACTTGCTGAAGACACTTGGGTCACAGAGCCTGTGGAGACTGAAATAAAGTCAAATTGTCACACAAATAAAGCTATGAGAGAGTTTCATAAAATTTAGTAGAGTGTCTTAGAGACCAGTAGTCTAGCACTCTAAGTGTCATGGTCACTAGGAATTAGTCATCTTGTTTCCCTTGCCCTAGCCCTTGAAAGAAATAATCTGAATATATAAACCGAGTGGTTGCTAAAGTCTGGCAAACCGAAGAGATTTATTTGCCCCAGATGCCATGCGCGGGGAATAGGTATCTTAAGCAGCCCGAGGGAAGGACTGGTAAGATATGTAGATAAGGTTCTCATCTACACGTAATCAACACAATCAGTAGATATTCCTACCTCCCCCCTCAAATCTTTCCTAATCCGTCTCAGCCCCACCCATGCAGGACTAGGACTAATTGAGGAAGATAAATCGAGTTTCTACTCTGCTACAAGCTCTTCCTTTTGTGACTTCTATATTTCTTCTTCCGTCCAGCAAAGATGTTCCCCGTACTCTCGGTAAACCTGATTTCACCTGGATATAAATGTTAGGGGAAAGGAATTGGGAGTGGGCTGCCAAAGAGTGGGCTTTATCCTGCTCCCCACTACAAATTACCCTGATTCTAATAGGCAAAACTACAAACACGCCCTAAGAGGAGGAGAGGGGTGTGGTGCGGAAAGCGAGGTTTCCTTTGAGTTTGCACAATCTTGTGACATCACAACCTCATCAAGCCTTTGTAAGTAAGCTTGGATCCTTTTTAAAGGTGGCGTGTACTTATTTTAAAAGAACCAGAGCAAGGATAGCAATGAGTTGGGTGGATCTTTCATGTGTTATTTAGAGATGATGTGAACTGGCAGTATGGTATGGAGGAAAGCGTGAAGAATTTGAAGTCGGAGGACTTAACTAATTAAGTAATTAAGATTCTGACTCTGTCATTTAGTAGCTGTGTGACCTTGGGCAAGTCACTTCACTTCTCTGCATCCCAGTTCCCTCATCTGTAAAATGAGAGGGTTGGACACAATGGCCACTCAGGTCCCTTCCAGCTTTGCATCTATCTAGTCCTTTCCTGTGCCCAATGAACCTCTGAACAGAATGAGAAGTAGTGCAAAGGTTGTGCTCTGAACCACTGGAGGGAGTGCCTGATGCTGATAGCATCCTGGATTCACACCTTCAAAATCAAGGTTTTTTGTTTTTGTTTTTGTTTTTGATCAGTGTAACTTACTTCCACCTCTAATTTTAACATTCTTAATAGTGAAAAGAGCATTGGACTGGGGATCAAGAGAACTGAGTTCAAATTTTGACTCTGCCATTAACTATGTGACTTTGGTCAAGATGTCTCACCTCTCTGGGTCTCTATTTCCTCATCTTTAAAAATAAAACGTAGGGGCCAGATGAGTGCTAAAGTTCCTTCCAGTTCTAATATTCACATTCTATATATGATTCTAAGACACTCCCAACACGGAGCTTCCATTGCCCTAAGAATTACAATATACATCAACTATACAACCTAACTGTTTACAACCCTGCTCTTTCTACACATAATCCTGACAGCCTTTGAACATTGTTACTATTTTAAAGGGTAAATTTGCCTATATGCTAGTTGAATTACATTAACAACCAAGGGAATGAAAGGACAAAAGGCCAATTTGCTTGCTCCTTCAGTCCTTCCTCTGATTGGTCAGTGCCCCCTGGAATCTTCATTTTAAGGAAGTTCCTGGGTCATCCATGTTCTTTCCTTTATTCCTTCCCAGTTCTGCTCCTGACTCTCAGGACTTCTTTTTCCACCATGACCCCTTGAGTACCTTTTTTCACCCTCCCCAATACTCTTTTCAGCTTTAATTTGTATATTGTCTTTCCTCCATTAGAATGTAAGCTCTTTGAGGATAGGTTCTGTCTTTTGAGTTTAGTACAGTGCCTGGTACCTAATGAGTATTTACAATAATAATTACATTATATTATAATATGATTACCATGATCATAATATATTACATTATTATAAACATATATAAATACATATAAATAATGATCAGTGTGATTATAATATAATAATAATAAATGTTTGTTGACCTGTCACTCTTATAGGGACAGTATTTAAGTAACCTGTTTGGAATGAAAAAGGTGAAATACAGTCTTTGTCAGTGTCAAACACTAGAGGGAGGCAATGTCGTACTGTGAAAGGAGCACAGGAGAGTTAGGGAACATGGGTTCAAATCCCACTTCTTATACTTACTACCTGAGTAACCTTAAGCAAAGTTGCTTAGTCTCCCTGGGCCTTACTATCCTCAGCTAGAAAACAAAAGGTCTGGACTGGAAGGTCTCTGAGCTACTTTTGAGCTCTACTTTAGTGATCTCTGATCCTATAAACTGACGTTGTTGTTTTCAGTTGTTTTAGTCATATCCAACTCTTCGTGATGCCATTTGGAGTTTTCTTGGCAAAGATACTGGAGTGGTTTGCCATTTCCTTCTCTAGCTCATTTTACAGATGAGGAAACTAAGTCAAACAGATTTAAGTGACTTGCCCAAGGTTACATAGGAAAGAAAAAAAAAACTGACACAGCAGCTTGAATATCATTCAGGTGCCGCAAAATAGCATTGAGAGCCTACACTGTATAAGGTATCTTTTCCTAAGGGCCAAGGAAGATTTCTAAAAAGAAGAAGTATAAGGTATTTCCTAAAATACCAAAACTATTTCCTAAGTACTAAAGAATGGTCTGTTTTGTTGTGCAGGAATGATAAATTCAGCCCTTCTCCATCTTATTCTAGTTCAATCCCATTTCTATGTCTGTAACATAGTTGAAATGACATTTGCCTCCTACAACTCTGAGATCAAGTATACAGGACACTATAATTTTACTTTTTTTTTTCTGAGAAGCAGCATGATATTAAAGTGAATAGAGAGCTGATCTCAGAGTGAAGAAAATCTGGGTTCAAGTCTCACCTCTGACACAGGATGTGTAACCCTGGGCAAATCCCAACCTTTCAGTACCCTCAGATTATTCACCAAGTTACAGACCACTGACCAATCTGCATAGGTAGAGGGAGTTTCCTAATTCATAGTCCTCTATATCAATGAAATTACAGGTCTGTCTAATGTTGTAGATAACACATGAAATATCTATTGCATTTAACCAAATAAATGTTGGTTATTATTACACAGCTAGCAAGTGTCAGAGGTGAGATTTGAACCCAGGGCTTCCTGACTCCAAGTTCAGCATTCTGTCTCCACAATCCAACATGACATTCTGCCTTCTGCAGTCCCATGCATTCTCCCCACCCACTCGTAATTGGAAGAAGGGAGCAATGGACCTCACAGGAGGGCGGGGAGAAGACCCTCAACATCTGAATTGGCTGTCTACACAGCCTAAATTGACCAGATAATTGCCAACATCAACTTCATTCTGTTTCTAGGAGATTTAGCATGTCAGACATAGGGGAATACCTGTAGCAGTGAGAAATGCTACTGACTCAGGTGTGCCATGACAGTGGAGGTCACAGAAACTCCATACCTTTACTGGCTCTAGAAACCATTCTCTGCTTCATCAGAAGTTCAATGGAATCACCTCAACTGACACCCATCGATTACCCCCAAGACTATTTTTGTGTTCCCACTGCGGCTGGCCAGAGACAAACCAGCACTTGGAAAGTGCTTTGAGACCCCATGACAAAACATGCTGTTTTGGTAGAAGGTATTGACATTCATCTGGACCAATGGCAAAAACAGATTTTAACAACTGTCTTTAGATCAACCTACAAACTACATTTTTTTGTGTTGTACCAACAGCAATAGTAGAAGGCCGGAGTCAAGTCCCAACCAGGATCTCTTAGCAGGCAACTCAATTCTCTTTTCACAGTTGGAAGGACTCCCACTAGATGTCATCCCAAATATATTCAAAGTAGAGCTGATAAAGGCAGAGAAGTTTAAGAACTCAAAGACCCAAATTAATTAGAATGGACCAGGCTTTTGCTTTGTACTGGCCCAGAAAGTAAAACAAATGTGGTTTTTTACTGCTTGTTTACATAAATATATTATCACCCCTCCCAGAAAATAAATATTTTTAAGATGTTCTTTTGGTCTCATTTGGATTTACTTAAAATGAAGGAAAACTATTTTTCTCTCACAGGAGTTAGAGAGAAGGTGACTCTATGAGAAAATAAAGTCACAGCTAACATGGCCCCACACTAATAACGGTCCCATTCCCTAATCAATGTTCCTCGATCTTGAACGGCAAAGGCCTCTGAAGCCCATCAAAGAATGATTAGTCCTCACTCAATGCAGTCAGCCTGCATCTAAATTAGATTGGAAGAAGAAAGGAAAAGAAAGTTCAAAAAGTTTTGCTACCTCTTCACTCAAGACTGCAAGTGCACAAAGAATTATGGAATGGTTGGTTGATAGAAGAAAAAAACACATTCAAAACTACTTACTGACTAATGATGCAGAAAATGTTATGAATAAGTATCCCTTTCTTGATTTATTACTTTAATTATCTGACATTCTATAGACCCCCATTAGTGTGTTTCCTTTTTTTTTTTTTTGGCTTAGATTTCAATTTTCTGTCTCATGGTGAAAGCTATTTATCATAATAATCAGTAAAATTCAAAACCTTTTAGCAGTATTTATAAAATTCATTTACCATGTTCAGCCCTTGGAGAATGACAAAGAAGGCGCATTAGTACGTGTGCTGAACTGTTTTATGTAGAATTATCTGTCCATAAGAATGATTAAAAGTTCTTTAGAATATTTTGATTCCATTTTTTTAATCTTTAAAAAAAATGTTCTTCTTACCTATGCTGTGACTGGAAGCTGGGACCTGCTGGTTGGGTGGCTGCTGTACCTTTGTCCGGATGATCCTGAATGTAATTTTTTGGGGGAAAAAAGGACCACTTACTATCAGGCATGACAGAGAAGCAAACAGAACCCACTGGCATAAGTAAACAACTCAACATGAAGGAACCCAGAAATTATTTTAGTTCAATCATAAGGCCTCATTATGAATGATTATATTTTCTTACACCTTCCCTATAAGGCTGACAGAAAGGGATGGAAAGATCAGGATTAAATACACTAGGAAAAGCATCCAAACCAAGGGAGGGAGAAAGATTCAATCAAGTGATCCATGCATGTAGTAGATAGAAGAATCATCCCAAAACATAATGATTGAACTTGCAGTGACAAAAAAATCTGGGTTTGTGTCTATTGAAAGAAAAAACCAAACACCATGTACTCCAACAGGAACAAACCCAGATACTAGGCCATGACACTACCTTGTATCAATCATGCCCCTCTGTGGGACTCAGTTTCCTCACAGGTTAAATGGGGAAGTCAGAGTAGATGACTTCTAAGGACTAACAGTCTATGATTCTAAGTGGAACAACACATTCGTTTTCTGTAATATGGGAAATTATAGTCCTACCTTTGCAATTCTGGACTATTGTTATTGAGTGTCCTGCCTATGTAAGGACTACAGAACCGCACCATAAACTGGAAATAGTTATGTCAATAACATTTGTAAATTCTTCATGGATCTGTGGTGTCATCTGCAGAGACCTGACTATAGAATAGCTATTGTCTCGTTTAGTTGTTCAATGAATCAAAACCAATCTGCTTTAGTATAATGCCATTTATTTAATGTTAGAGATGATAAAATGCTAGCCTCATAGGAAAACTTCTTTTGGAGTTCCTAGACTATCTTTTGTGAAAATAATAGGCAAAGCTGCTGGAAGTTTCTGTTTTCGGGAGCCTAAAAGTTGGGAGGGGCAGCTAGAGCACTGAGCTTGGAATCAGGAAGACTCCTCTACCTGAGTTTAAATTTGGCCTGAAACACTTACTAGCTGTGTGACCCCAGGCAAGTCACTTAGCCCTGTTTGCCTCAGGTCCTCATCTGTAAAATGAGCCGGAGAAGGAAATGGCAAACCCTTCTGGTATCTTTGCTAAGAAAACCCCAAATGGGGTCATGAAGAGTTGGACACAACTGAACACAACTTTGAGAAAGATGGGCATCACAGAATGACTATATCATTTTAGCCTTTGACTTTGAGAAACCATGAAATGATCTGGACACAATGGGCATCCAATCCACATTGTTGACTGAGTGATCAAAGCAATAGTCCTGACTTAGGAATACTCAGACAATGTGATTGCATAAATTGTCCTTTGGGGCTTGCATGAAGGAAAGGGAATTTGTGGGAGCCAAAGAGAAAAACTGTGTCGACTTGGTCACATCACATCATCTCTGAGCCACAGTTTCTAGTCTATAAAATGAGGAGGTTTGGAGTGTGGCATAATGGAGAAAGGGCTTACTTCCTAGAGTAATGAAGACATAGCACCAAGTCCTGCTCTGACATACATTGACTGTATACTATAGTTACCTTATTTAAGCTTTCAGGGGCCCAGACAACTCACTAACACATAAGTTATAGGTGAGGTGTGGTTCTGTAATGGTGACGGAGCTTTTTCCCAAGGAGTTCCTTACACTGATGAAATCACAGGTCTAGTCCAAGAATCTTTTTTTTTTAAAATAAGGGGGTCAAAATAGATCTCTGAAGGCTCTCCCAGATCAAAATCTATGATCCTATAACCATTTTCCACAAGGAGATGTAAGCATTCACCCTGTAGGGCCAGAAAGGAATGAGCAGACCATTGTTACAATGAGGAGCTGCAGCAGAGAAGACTTTAATAAGAAAGCTAATCAACTATGATAGAAATATTAACAAATATAAATTATTTTCAAAATATTCACATGAGAAGAGCACACAGTATATACTCTAAATTAGGTCTAATGAAAACTAAATTCACATTAGCATTCATTATTTTGTAGAGCATTGGCACACTACCTGACACTATACAAATATCATAGAACATTAGAGATGTCAGGTACCTTAATAATCATCTAATAGGACACCATCATTTTACAGATAAGAAAACTGAGGCCCAGGGAGTTTCAGAGTCACACACTTAACCCATGGCAGAGCCGGCAGGCAATAGGACCCTGGTCTCCTAACCCTAAGTTCAGTAGTTTTGCCACAACCCTTAAAGGAAGTATATTCTCCTTTGCCACACACCAAAAATCATATAATAATAATGGCATTTATATTACACTTTAAAGCTTGCAAAGCACTTTACATATGTTAACTCATTTGTTCATATATCGATAAAGCCTATTGAGATGTTAAATCCATTTGAAATTTCAGGCTTAGAACTTAAAAGTATGTTAGGTATTATAGACACTTGTGATTATTCAAATTTTCCCCTTTTGTAATTACAAGAATTGATAAAGTAGGGAAGTGTTTGAAAGGCTTTATACATGCACAAATGAATTTCCAGGGCTAGGTAGAGGGAAGTGAAAGAGAAAGAGAAAACCATCATTTTAAACATTGTTTATGTGAGCAAATGCATTCTGAGTTTCAATTCAAGATGCCAAAAGCACATTTCCCTTCCCCCCTTTCCCAGCAGTGGCCTGGAGTGGGGGAAGAGGAGGGAAAGATGCGGAAGAGAATTTCAGGTTTAATTCAAAGTAAAAGATTACCCCCCCAAATATCATGCAGATCATAGAATCATAGATTTAGAGCTAAATGATCTACTTCACTAGTCCAAACATCCCACCACTTTACAGATAAAGAAAGTGAAGCCCGTTTAGGTAAAATCAATTGCTCCAGTCTCACAATTTGGTGGCCAGGTCAGATATGAACTCTTTCTACTGAACCACTCCACTAAGAAGGGAAAGAAAAAATCCCAAACAGTCAATCAACTAAGTATCTAAATACCAGACACTGTGCTAGGTGCTAGGGAAAGAAAGACTAAAATGAAACATTCCTCCATCCCTTCAAAGATCTTATATTCTATTAGAGGAAATAAAATGTTCTTGTATAAGTGAATATAAAATACACACACACACAGAAAGCAATTTGGAGGGACCCTAGTATTGGAGTGATCAAGAAGTCTTCATTTAGGAAATGTCATTTAAGTAGAACTTGGAAGGAAGCTAGTTATTCTAAGAGGTAAGGTGGGAGTACATTCCAGCCATGAGAGTTGACCCATGCAAAGGCAGGGAGATAGGCAAAAGAATGACATATATGAAGAAGAAGAAATGGGGCAGTTTAGCTAGAACATAAGAGTGTGTAAAGGGGAGTCATGGATGGAAATATAAGTTGAGGTCAGATTACGACAGGCTTTAAATGGAAAATGAAGGCATTTGTATGTTATCTTAAAGGCAATGGGGAATCACTGCAGCTCTTTAAACTTGGTGGTGGGAGTGGGGGGATGACCTGGCCAGTAGAGGAGGAATTGGAGAAGAAAGACACTTGAGACAGAGAAACCAATTAGAAAGTTATTGCAATGCCCCAGGGAGAAGTGATCAGGGCCAAAGTAGAAAGAAGGGGAAGGATCATTAGAAAAATGTTATTCACTCTATATCTACATTAGATCTCACCTTTTATATCATTGCTTCTCAATAAGAAAAAGATACTAAGAGAAAATACCTCTCTAGGTCAATCATTCTCCTACTTTCTATATTTGAAGAACAAAATACCAGCAAAAAGAAAAAAGTTCTCCAAAACAATAAAGGAAAAAAGGAGAAGTTTCAGAAAACATTAAAAAACCACATATATACACGTGGAATGTCAAGATATATAGTAGAAGTTGAATGTAAGTGATAATAACAATTGTTCAAATTTCTGGGGCATTTCAGTCATACAAAAAAATTTTTTGATTTACAATATTTAATATTGGCTTTAAATTTATAGTTCAAATGAGCTACCTAATTAATAAGTTGTATATATGTGTCCCAAAAGTCTTAGTGTAGTTTAAAACTGCACTAAACATGACTGAAATGCTACAGAAATGTGGATTTTTTTTTTTTACTATTACTTACATTCAATTTTTAACACACATTTTGACATTTGATTATTTATAATCTTGTACTGTCTTTTAATGATTTCATATGAAATTGTCAATTTGTTGAGGCAGGGGCTTCTGAAATTTTATGGACCAATGCCCAGTAGTCTCTAGAGTATGTGGACAACAATAAATATTTGCTGAATGCACTTTAACATGTCCTTTTAATTATGATTTAAAATCATTTCATAATAATAATAATTTCATTTCTATAGTACTTTACAATTTACAAAAGTCATTCCCTTAAAAAAATTACTGTGAGAGAGGTAATACATTATCTATCTATTTATCTATTATTTCTCATTAATAAATGCATCGTAAGCTGATATAAAGGTGAGAAAGGTCTAATGACATTATTGTGTTCTATAAAAATTCTTGGTCCCAAATTTATTGGAAATGGACTCAGAGATTAAATGACTTTCACACAGCAATTGTCTTAAATCCAGGTCTGTTCACACCCAAATCTATTGCTTTCCCCACTACATCCTACAGTCTTTGAGTCAAGTGACCTTGAATCCAGTTACACCAAACTCAGTGAGTGAGAATTCTATGCCTTTACCCAGGCCCTAGTGGGGGAAATTATCCTTTGATCCTCCAATGTAGATGTTTAAGAGATCTGGTCTTTAAATACATTCTTAGAACAATGACTTTTGGAGGGAAGAAAAGGGGAGACCCAGCCTGTGATTTTTCTCAGTATAAAGAACTCTTCATGAAATACATGCTTAAACTAAAAACACTTTGGTGGGCCAGGGGAAGGCCCACACTTGAGATTTTTTTAGTATAAGGATTTCCCCATGAGGAAACTCCCCCTCCCAATGAAGATCAGCACCTGCACTGCAATGTTTCATTTTAGAGAGATGTCCAGGCAGTGACTTGCTTAGGGTCACACAATTAATATGTGACAGAGACAAGAGCTGATTCCTGACTCTGAGCTCGGATGTCCATCCACTACACTAGGACACATCTCATGAGAATGACCTCAACAAGGTAAAGGGAAAGAAAACAACCCCAAAAATCAGCAAATCTCAAGTCAAAGACAAAGTAACTATTATATGAAAACACAATGTATCAATAAAAAATCTTAAAGAAATAATATACCTATGAATGAGGAACCAAAGAGGTCCTCTCTTCATCAGTGACATTATCCTTGGCCATGAGTGACAGAAACATTAGGCCACAACAATCTGCTTAAAGAGAAATTTTGCTTTCTTGTCTTTGATGCTGAATAACAGGTCCTCCTGGTTTAAGTTTTTGTTTCTCTCTCTCTCTCTCTCTCTCTCTCTCTCTCTCTCTCTCTCTTGCTGAATCTGTTCATTATCTGAGCATTTTTTAAACTTGGCAAGAATTCTGATATACTAAAAGTGATCCATGTGAAACCGTATGTAAGGCAGACATTTCACACCAACGGTAGTAAAATCATTTAAAATAAATTGAATTAAAAATACCTGAAATTTGAAAGTTCTGACTCCATATCATTCCAGAAGCTGATGGGATTTCCCTTTCTTAAATGAGTATCACCTATAGGAATTATGATCGTCTCTGGGCTTTCCCTAATCAGCTCATTTTGCAAAGATTTTTCCCTTGACAGGAAGCAGGCTACAAGGAGGATATGACATCAGCAGACATAAAAATTGTGTGTTGTTTCTCAAGAAGAAGTAGCAGAAAAATAGTCCCTGCCCCCCCCTCCAAAAAAAAAGCACACCAGTCTTAGGAATTAATTGGGAATCCAGACTGTTACTGTCTCTGTGACCAAAAGTAAGTCACCCTTTACATGGCAGTTTCATCAACTTTGAAAAAAACGGGAGATAGACTACATGACCCTTTATGTCCTACTCTAAATCTTATGATTGTTTTGCCTCACCACTAAGATCAACCTTGTTTGTTGGTTTTTCTGGACCTCTGATATCTTTGTTGAGGGAGGGAATCATTGATAAATACATCCTAATTTGATATGGAAGCAAGAAAGATCCAATGTTATTTTTGCTTCCTACAAAGATTCTTGATCCCTGGGTCTATGTACTTCTAGTCATATATCCATTAGCTTGCCATGGTTTATTTTAACAGCTAACCAACGCCACTGTGAGGTTTCAAACACTGAACACCTGCTACCCAAAAACCAACCTAAGTAAATAGTCTTTTCAAACCATGAACAAATAACAATCATGAAGATAGCTATATGGAAGGAGACAATTTGGTCTTATCCTGTTACTCCTTTATCCTGACTGTCAAATAGATAGGCATTTCTTTCCCCTACAAGTCAGCTTAACTTTCTTTGTTCCCATTTTGACTACTTCCAAGCCAAGGGGTCTTTTCTGAGTTTATTTGGGGGAGGGGCAGTGTTAGTCATCTCACTTATCTCCTCTGAGGGGGAGAAGCTAAAGCTAAAGGAGAGGTAGCACTCCTATAACCTTTGTGAATATAGAAAAGAGACCACTTATACCCATCCCGGAAAGCTTCAGTCCTACAGCCCGTTCCTTGGCTCCATCTCAAGTCTGATTATTTTATACTCATTGTTTTACATTTGGGTTCTCAGCCTGACAAACAGAGATTGATCGACACAACCGATGTTAAAAAAGAAAATCCAGCCCAGCCCAGCACACTCTGTGTTGTCTTTGTTCCCAAGGAGCTAGGGAAAGGAACAGCAGAGGTATTGTCTAGGCCTGGAGAAATCTCAAATAGCCCCGGCAGAGCATCAAAATGGTTCCCCTCTCCCTGACAGTACACATCCACTGCCAACATCTGAAGGGGATACATCCTCTTGGAAAGAGAAGAAAAAGGTCATCTACACCCCCAGCACAGCCCTGGTTCTTTGTTTTACATTCTTAGTGGTCCCAAAGATGAGTACAGAAAAAGCTATTTGTAAAGTAAGGTTAAGGCAGGTCTTCCATTTTAGGATAAGGTACCCATCAAACTGTATCCCTGCTCCATTATATGTCATTTGAACATTGATACACTATCTTCCCACCCCCACCCCGAAAACCCTCCCCCACAAATCTTTACCTGTTAATTGAGCTGACACTGGGCACGGTGTCATTGTCACACACTCGCTCTGCTAAAAGCCTATCTCTGATTTCCCAGGCAAACATGGTAGGGTTTTGGCGTTTATATTCTGCAATCTTTTCTACAACTTTGGGTGTGGCGACCTTTGGTTTTGACCCTCCAATCACCCCAGGCTTGATACTTCCAGTCTCATAATACCTATAACAAAGATGGAGAGGGAAAAATTGCTTAGTTATAAGGAACTGACAGAAATCAAGCAAAGCTGATTTTTGTCACAAAATAAGATGATGCTCAACACAGAGGAAGTAGAAAATACAGATGAATGTAGAAGCAGATGAATCCTCCCTTCAAAATCGTCCCTGCATCCTATGATTTGAAATTCTGTTATACCAGTGGTACTTCCCCTCTTGTAACAGATTAACTTGCATTAATTGAAATCATACCATGATGTAAAATATGTTTTTTCTATGATGTCAAGACAACAGATACAGGGTAAGATTAAAGGGTGTGCAGGGATCCAAAATTAACTACAAATGTGTGTTATTAATCAGAAGCAATGGTAAAAACAAAAACAAAAATAAGTCACAACTAGATACAGTAAGCTCTCACGCAGCAAAATATAATTTCTAGGGACAATTTAATTCTGTAATCCCTTCTTTATTAATTGAAATATGGGGGGGTTAGCTGTATGACAAATATTAGTGAAAGGAAAATTGTTGAAAAAAAACAAATTTTTTGGTGGAAAGAATCAGTTATCATTATTGTTCAATCTGTTCCTACAATGTTTTTAAAAAATCTAAGTATATTTTCCTCCATGTTGTTCTCTAGAGAGAGCAGTCTCCTGCCACTGCGCACATTAAGCTAAAATAAAACTATTAAAAAAATTGAAATTTTTTTAAAAAGCAAATGAATAGGAATATAGAATGTTTAAATAAATGAAGTCTGTGTCTACTACTGTAGACAAAGTCTGCAGGAAAAAAAATCAATTATCAAGCTGATTAAATTTAAAGAAATATAATCAAAGTTCAAGTCTTGATAGGTCTACTTAAGATATGAGTTGGCAAATGTTATACAAACATTAAATTAATCTGGAGGGGTGGCAGGGAGATTGAAGTTTTATTATTCGGGAAATTGCCCCTTTTCCAAATTTCAACCACGTGACAAAGACTGGATAGAAAAATCAAGCTGTTTCCTCATTCTGCACTTACTGGCAAATTTTAATTAGTAACTCCCAGTTTTAAAACATGAGCCAAGAAATCAATTTTTATCCAGTAATTTTTGCATCTGGGAACCAAAAAAAAATAATGTAAAAACATCTGAATCCAAATCAGAGACCTATTATTATGATCCCCAGGACCATAACAAGAGTCATCTCTTTTTAGCCTTTTTATTTCCCTGATCCGGAATCATGTTCCTTTGGTCCCATGAGTCAATTTTCCATGTCTACCATGACTAGAGATGGTTGTTCCTTTCCACACTCTGACATATTATCTGAAGACAATACTGGGCAGTGATTCCATAAAAGGACATTAAATATTTAGCCCAGACAAGCCACCGGAACATATCAAATCTTCATCACCCATCATTTCTAACTACCTTCTGACAGATATTAGTGAAGACTCTTAGAAGTCAAACAAAAACTATCTCAACCCTGAATTTATGGGACTTTAGGGTTTCAAGAACTATGGAACATGCAAAATGCCAGCCCTTTGTATTTCGTAAAACAGGCCATGGCCAACCTCATGTTGAAGACAGAGCTTCAATTGATATGGACCATATGTACCAACCTTACACCAAAAGGTCTGGAGACTCTGAAGGTGTTCAATGTGGGATACACATTGAAGAGGAAAGTAAGTTCTCTGTGTCAATTTGACACAGTCCCCAGGCTCTAAGCAAGCTGCAACTACTGGAAACATCAGGTGCCTGGTGTTGTACAGCCCAGACCCACAGATGAATGATGGAAATGTTTCCCCTTCCACAAGGATGTGCTGGCATTGTACATATCAGCCCAGTTGGGGTTCTACTTGTCTTTCTTTCAATGTCTCCTAAAAGGATCTAGTGTTGAATATTTTGCCGGATGACAGTTTCTCTCCTACTGCACTGTCCTTTTCATTGTCTGGTAGCAAAATAATCTATGGATTCAATGACCACAATTCAGAAATTTTCAGTCGTATTGTTTTAGGGCTGAAGTTGTTTCTTAAAAGGCAATTCTAATTAGAATGACATTTTGTCCACTGTGGTTATTAGTTATGAAAATAATGAGCTATGAAATTCCAATTTATTGTTGACAACTTAAATGACAAAGCTCCATAGCAGCTGTTAACTTCATAGCACAACTACGTCTAATGACAAATCTATTCAAACGGTAAGAAGCCAAAGGAGTTCAACATTGTCACTGATCAGAAAAGTAATTGCTTACATATTAGCCCTACCCCGATGCTGGGGGCAATGGTGAGTGAACATAACAGGACAACCAATATCTCCAATTGGAGGAGTTGCTACTTACATTGGGGAAGCTTTGGGATCATGTTGTGTAAAAATCTCTAATATTAAATAAAATGTAGGCTCATAGAAAATATCTCAATAAAAACAAAGGATCTCGATATCTCTCTCTCTCTCTCTCTCTCTCTCTCTCTCTCTCTCTCTCTTTCTCTCCTTTCTCTCCCCCAAACTTCATTAAATGCCATTTCCAGAAATAAAGACCAACAAGACTCATCAGATTTGGAGACCAGGAACTGGGCATATGCGAAGAGTGAAATCGAGGGGCAAAGGTACCAAGCTTTCCAAAGAAACACCAAAGTATGGTTAGGTTAAAGTCAGGGACATCACTCCACTTGCCAATAGGTCATTTCCTTGACAACTACTAAAAGCAAATTTTTTTTTCAAACCAAGAGATTATATAAGGAAAACATCAATTTTATGAGCTAAAAAGTAATTGACTCATGATTTTTTAAACTACCAGTTCAGACACAATTTTCAAACTATAATGCATGTGAAACTACATTTTTAAAACTTTTTTCTGGAATAGGAAGAGAAAAACTTAAAACTAGTGGCAAGAATGGTTCACAACATGAGTCAAAAAGTCAATTGGAGGAGTTAAGCACATCTAATTTTTTCTAAAGTAAAATAAAAATTTAGAACCATAAGACTTAATGTTCACGAACATAACCTGATATTTCATAACACTTCTAAAACTTCATCGGAAAAAAATGGCAGTTTTCAAATATCAAATTTAGGGAAACTGATTGGTTTTGCTTGGTACATTTTGGGATATCTTTGGGGATACATTCTACTTCAAGTAAAATAAAAAGCCTTAAAAGAAAAACACTCTTACAGATTTCATAAAAGCTCACCCATAGATTGACTGCAAATGACATAGTGAATGGGGACTGTGTTTAAAAAAAAAAATATTCTTTAAAAGCAAAAAAAACTTTCATTGAATGATTTTGGAACTTGTGGTTTTTCCATTTTGCATTAGGCAGCAACACAAACATCTGTGTCTCTTGATTCATCTAAGAAAGGTAGAAGAAATTCACAGGAGCCCTGTACTCCCCTGGTCTTCAGAATGACTTGCCAGGCATTTTGAAAACCAAATGTCTTTTCTACTTCACTCATTTCACATACTAGTCCGCTTCTGTGTGATTCAGAATGGACAATAAACTATTCAAATAAAAATAAAAATGGGGATCGGAAATTGCTGGACAATTCTGGATGAAATCTCCTTCATTTCCTCTTGTTTCCATTTTCTGTTATTTATCTCATTTCATTCTGGAGGGCACCATTTTGTTTCTTTACTAAGGAAATTAATTGAGATGAGATTCTCCCGCCTTTACCTGCCGAGAATTTTGCTGACACAACCATGGCTGACCCGAAGCTGCCTGGAGATGTCACAAGGTCTCACACCTTGATGGGCAAGTTCCACAATCCTTTGGCGGACTACATCGGGGAGGGGACGGCCATTTACAAAAACCCCCCCTAATTGATTCACTCCTCCATGTCCTGAAACATAGTAGAAAAAGAAGGGAAAAACAGGAAAGAAAAATTGATCTTAATCATACAGTAAGTACTCTGAAATCATGTTCCTCTTTGCCATTCAGCATTTCCTTGGGAATGGCTACCTGTACTTTCCTTTTAAAGAAGACTTTCAATATTCACCACAGAAATAAGATGGAAATTCACATATTTGCTTGTTAAAAGAATTTTTGTTTCAAATGGCTCATTCCTGGCTCTTTAAAATTATATGGTTCAGACATAACATTTGGCCTCTTAGAGAATGCAAAGTAAATGAGAGGGAAGGGGAGGTTTCCTTTATATACTATACATTCTGTTCTACTTCATTGACATTTGTTATAAAGGAATATCTCCGTTTCCCCCCACCCCCAACAACCAGATAGTTAACTTAATCAAGGGGAAAGGTAAAACTGTTGTGGAATGATTTTGCCATCGTAATTTACAGTGAACCTTGTAGGAGGATACTATGCTCCCCACAAATAAAATGTGAGTGTTTGGAAGAGCCCAGTGTATCATTCTTTCTTGGGCCGATTTGCACTGTTCACCTTTAGCAAGGTGAAATATACAGCTGGTGTAAAATGGGCACCCCACTAGATGAAGAGAGTATAGAGTAGCCCCTTGCAGCAACTGAGAAATATAATTAAGCCCGAAATTGTTAATCAGTCTAACAACTTACGTTACCAAGCATCGGGATGGAAAACAAATAACAGCAGTAACAAGCATCATTGACAGCACAGTAACAGGAGCAGGAGGCCATACCCTCGGTTTACAGAATAGATAGAGCAGACTGAGTCACGGAGGCTAAAGCACCTCCGTTGCTTTCCAAAACAAGGTAGGTCTAAGAAACACTTTGGTGAATTCAGTGTAACTACTTTACCCTAACTCACAACTGTCTGACTTGAGATATGTCTTCTGAAACTGTCAGAAAGTATCATAAATGGAAAAAATATTCTATTTCTAATACCTGGGAAAGCAGAGACAGCTGCCATTCACCAACGTTTATTGGCAACTTCAGAATTTATTTTCTTCAACAAAGTAGTTGTTTAGGAGTTTCCAAACCAGATTTAGACTGAAATACAGATATACCTCTCTCTACAGCTATACCTATGTTTATAGATGTGTGTGTGTGTGCATACACACACACACACACACACATAGTACATGTATAGATATGTACCTGCATCTGTATCTATATTGTGTATAGTGTATATATGTATATATTCGTACACACATATATATATATACATATTACATAAATATCTATAGTATGACATTCCTGGAGAAGCATTTGATTTTACTTCAAAGAGAAAATGCCTTAAAAAAATTAATGGTTTGTTTTGGTTCTAAAACACTCCTACGATAAGGGAAAAAAAGGTATTTTTTTTAATCCCTAATTGAAATTTATAGTTAGAAAGCAACTGCATAGTTCAGCTGGAAGAAGAATACTCCAGTCCTTCGGATCATCAGATTTGAGTAAGCTTTGTTCAATGAATTAAAAAAGTGATTGATAAAAAGGGCTACATAGCTTTTCAGGAGCAGGATCAATTTTAGAAGCAGAAACTCAATTTAAATTTGGTAAATTCCAAATGGGTAAGACAAGGGACAGAGAGTGGGAGCTAAATCCTTCCAGTGCACTTTGTAGATGACTAAAAGGCATGAAAATTATATCAAATCTACAAAGATCCTTTTTTCTATTCATGTAGAAATTGAGACTGCAGAAAATATAACAGAGTTAAAATGAATTAAACAGAAAGACTTTTGCCCTTTCAGTTAGTTTTTGATCATGACAAAGACTTGGATAGTCTCTTTTGAGGAAAAGCACTCAGGGCAATAAAAAAAGACTCAGAATTCCAGTTCCCCACATTCCTTACTTTATGGTATTGAGGTTTGCAGCTATATAAGTGTGTTGGCTATTTTCAGTAGCAGTGAAAACCTGTTAAGATTTAACTTCCTGTAATGAACCAAGCCCAGCATGTTCGGATCTTCCTAAATGCTGCAAAACTATTACGTAGGAGATTTCCATTGTCAGTTTATAGGGAAGCACATGTTCTATTTGTGTAGAGAAGGAAGAAACTCAATACTAAGTGTTAGAACCATTGATTAAAATCAGAGAGAGGAAAGGGTAAAAAGAGGGAAATAGAGGAAGAAAGATGAATAAGAAAAGAATAGAAGAATCAGAAAGAAGAAAGAGAGGGCAAAGAAAAAAAGGGTTAGGAGAAAGGGCAAGTTGGAGGAGTGGGGGGACGCCCAGGGAAAGGGGAGAGGAGAATAGGAAGGGAAGAGTCTCAGAGGGATGAAGTGCCTTAAGGAACATCTAATCTTCCCCTCCTTGGCCTCAATTTTACAGAGAAGGAAACAAATCCAAGATTTGCCCCCAGATCATACAGCACATTAGTGGTGGAGAGAAGAGTAGACCCAGGTCTTCTGACTGCAAGTTCAGTTCTTTTCCCACTGTTCCTTACCTTCACTACCTCTAATAATGTATATTAAGAAAAAAAGAGATGTTGTAAGAAGAGCTCTTTGCTGAGAAATATTTTCTTTTTCCTAGATCTCCTCTACTTGGAAATATCAAATAAAGGTAGTCAAAATAAAGAAATGCCTTAAGTTCCCAGTTAGTTTAAAGAAAAATACCTTAAGTCTTCACTCTATCTCCTGTGCCGCACCCCCCCCCATACCCACTACCTGGTTTGTTTAGCAGGTAGACATCCCAGATGTGGCTCAATTTTCTACTGTCATCTGTGTGTGTGTGTGTGTGTAAAATAACATTATGCACTTATGAACATTTTAAAATCAAATAACCCAGTCAAAATCCCTGGTCTTGGTTTATGTTTCTAAAGGAAACTCTCCCAATTGCTCCTTTCAAAGGAGTTAGTGGGTCATTTACTGAAGTCTTCCAGTGCCAACATGCCAGCCATACTCACCTGCCCTGGACTGTTTCCATAGGCACTCTATGCCTCTGTCTGCACATCCCTATTTAAGGTAAAGATAGGATGTAGACATTGGGAAGCTAACTGTGAGGCTCTGAGCTGGAAACCATCTGTCCTTGGACTAGAAACTTTACCCAAAAATGTAAAGAAAATATTACTTGATGCTGTGAGCACAGGAACATGAACTTCCCCCTTGTTTCAAAACACACACACAGACACACACACACACTGCAGCTAAAGTAGATAGATAGGTAGGTAGGTAGGTAAATAGATAGATAGATAGATGATAGATAGATAGATAGATAGATAGATAGATAGATAGATAGATAGAT